CACACACACACCACACACACACACACAACACACACACACACAACACACACACACACACACACACAACACACACACACACAACACACACACACACAACACACACACACACAACACACACACACACACAACACACACACACACAACACACACACACACAACACACACACACACACACCACACACACACACACCACACACACACACACCACACACACACACACAACACACACACACACAACACACACACACACACCACACACACACACACCACACACACACACACAACACACACACACACCACACACACACACACCACACACACACACACAACACACACACACACAACACACACACACACACACACACACACACACACCACACACACACACACCACACACACACACACAACACACACACACACACACACACACAACACACACACACACACAACACACACACACACAACACACACACACACACAACACACACACACACAACACACACACACACACACACCACACACACACACACACACACAACACACACACACACACCACACACACACACACAACACACACACACACCACACACACACACACAACACACACACACACAACACACACACACACAACACACACACACACACAACACACACACACACAACACACACACACACAACACACACACACACAACACACACACACACACAACACACACACACACAACACACACACACACAACACACACACACACAACACACACACACACACCACACACACACACACACACACAACACACACACACACAACACACACACACACAACACACACACACACAACACACACACACACACACAACACACACACACACAACACACACACACACACCACACACACACACACACAACACACACACACACACACAACACACACACACACAACACACACACACACAACACACACACACACAACACACACACACACACACAACACACACACACACAACACACACACACACAACACACACACACACAACACACACACACACACAACACACACACACACAACACACACACACACACAACACACACACACACAACACACACACACACACCACACACACACACACACAACACACACACACACACAACACACACACACACAACACACACACACACACCACACACACACACACAACACACACACACACACACACCACACACACACACACACACACAACACACACACACACACACAACACACACACACACAACACACACACACACACCACACACACACACACAACACACACACACACAACACACACACACACAACACACACACACACAACACACACACACACAACACACACACACACACACAACACACACACACACAACACACACACACACACACACCACACACACACACACACACCACACACACACACACACACACACAACACACACACACACACACACACAACACACACACACACACACCACACACACACACACAACACACACACACACAACACACACACACACAACACACACACACACACAACACACACACACACAACACACACACACACAACACACACACACACAACACACACACACACACACACAACACACACACACACAACACACACACACACAACACACACACACACACCACACACACACACACACAACACACACACACACACACACACACACACACAACACACACACACACCACACACACACACACACACACACACACAACACACACACACACAACACACACACACACACACACCACACACACACACACACAACACACACACACACAACACACACACACACACACACACCACACACACACACACAATCATCTTTTTTTCTTCTTTTTGAAGGATGATCATCATGTTGTAAAGAGTAGAAGTGAGTAAGGTGACAATGAGGACATCTTAAAAAAATACACTCTTCATTGTCCAAAAATTGTGAAACTTCTATAAAGCACTTCTAGTATAGAAATCTGGGTAACACAATAGAAACTTAGCAATAACAATAACAGAAATAATAACATGGAATAACAGTAACTTTCCTCTTCTAAGTCTCTACAAAATACCAAATAACATAAAAACAATCATCACAAAATAATAAACCTTCCCAAAATCAGGATATAATTCAGTCCCTAACTCAGACTCCTGTTTTATAACAAAGACCAAAACCACATATAATATTTAAACAAACAAGTATCAATGTACTCTCTGACTCCTTTTAGAAAACATAATCGAACCCAGAAGACCACAGGACCACAAAACCTCATGACTTGCTTGCCCACCAACAAAGGTACAATCCGCACTAACCTGGAGGCGTAGAATTAGTCCTCATGAGACTTCCTTGCGCATGGTTAGACCGCGGACTTGTATGTGGTGATGGAATTGGTCTCTGAATCTGGGGTGGAGGTAACGGAGGGTGCGTTGCTTGCCAGTAGGCATCGAGATACTCTGCTATATGTTCGCATGCGTCCTCAAGCTGCAAAATTATGATGAATGATAGAAGTATGCAATTATCATTTTGTATTTTATGACTGAATTATGCAAGATTGGCAGTTTAAACCAGATGACTTAAACCAAAATTATTTATTCATTTACTTTTCTAACAACTTTATCTCCTTTCTCACTTTCTCACTCTCACTCTCTAATTCTCCCTCCCTCCTTCTCTCTCTTTCGCATGCACGCATGCACCCGTACACACACGTGCGAACACACACACCTACACACACACACACACACACACACACACACACACACACACACACACACACACACACACACACACACACACACACACACACACACACACACATGCACACGCACGCACGCACGCACGCACACACACACACACACACACACGCACACATGAACATACACACATGTACATGCACACACACAAACAAACAAACAAACACACACACACACACACACACACACACACACACACACACACACACACACACACACACACACACACACACACACACATCACACATAGACACACAAATGCACACATATGAAGACACCTACACACACCTACCCACTCATACACACCCACACCCACACACATACAAGCATACAAAGACTGACACACAAAATAAAAAAGTAAATAAATAGATTAATAATAATAATAATAATAATAATAATAATAATAATAATAATAATAATAATAATGATAATAATGATAATAATAATAATAATAATAATAATAATAATAATAATAACAATAATAAAAATTAAAGTTACAATAAAAAAATCTCCCTACCTGATTTTCATCAAGAATCACATCAAACATCTCTGGTGGACACTGGGCTAATTTTTCTGCTGCAACCATCTGAACACTCAAGTTGCGACTCTGAGATTTTCCCCGTGACTTTATTAAACGCTGCAGTACCTGAAGTACACATTAATTAATCAGCATGACTGAAGATTACAAGGGATATAAAAAGAGAAAAAAAAATCTTGCTTGCTCATAAGCAGGTTTCTAATCTATATCCATTCCAACTAAGAGCTTTAAATGTACAATATATTAACACATGTTAAGTATACACAATAAATCCTGACTTAAGATTTGCAATAACACCAATGACAAGGTATGAGGAGATAAGTACACCTTCCCAGCAATAACAATGTGAATCAATGAGTAGAAATCCTTTTAATACTAACTTTCTTTTAAAAATGAATATTAAAATTGTAACTACCATGGATTTCAATCAACCAAGGAGTACTACAGTAAAGATTGAGGAAACCTTACCTTAGGAGACGAGATCTTGAGGTATACAAGAATAGGTGCAAGAGATGTCTTAGCAAGTTGAGAGGGGTGGTTAATAGTGTCACAATCGAGCACCACTAACTGTAGAGTTCTTGCTAGTTCAAATATTCGTTCTATTTCCGCCTGAACTTCTGCTATACAAGAAGATCTGGAGTTGGATCGTTCCATAAGAGCACGTTTGTTTGGGTTGTTTAGGAGACTCCGTTTTGCAAGAGAGATATCAGCACTCACCCGTGTAATGATTACCCTGAAAGACAGATTATAGTGAATTGTGAACTAAACAGTATAAATACATTAGAACATTAAAATACAGTAACTTTTCAAATAGTTTCTAATATCTGATGGAGTGGACAACATTATGAGAAAATTGAGAAAAAAAATGTTTTCTCTTTCTATCTAAAAGCCTTTGAGCCTCCTTATCGTCTCTGTTATTGTAATATTAGGCTGACTATCAAATAAATTGAAAACAGTAAAAATAGAGCATTACACATTTATAATCTTTAAAAATGATCATGTGGAAAAATATATATAGATCTTCACAAAATGCAACATATAATAATTTGTGAACAAATTAAACACAAATTCCTGATGTAGTCACTTGAGGAAAAAAGAAAAATCTTGAAAAGATTGAACTGTCATAGGAAAAAATTATATCCACTCCAAATCACAGTTTACTTACTTCCCCTCAAATCTGTGCTTAATGTAATCAAACAGCGCCTTCTGCATCATGTCTGTGACCTCATACCCTTTAAGGGATGGGCCAACAAGCACTAGCGGGCGCATGGAAGGCACGACATCGTACGGAGGAATGTTCTCCTGTTTCTTGAAGAAGGGCTTCCGCTTCTCCTTGGCTGGTGGGGTTGTGATGGAACTCTTCCCCTTGGCGTTGCCCAGGGAATCGGAGTCGTCACCCACATTGGAGTCTAATCCGTTGTCGAGGTCAATTCCTGTGTGCGGTACAGTGGGGGAATTCTTTATTGGCCAGGGGTTCTGAGTGCCTCAGCTATTGGCGGTGGGCCCTTAAAAACTGATGATACAAGATACCACACAGGAACATCTGACTATCAAAGCTGTCAACTTTATCAAAATGTAGGGGGTCATGAGGGAAGGGAGGGAAAGAGAAAAAACACTAGAAAAGCATTATGGAAAGGTTAAGGAGACCAAACTCATTTCAGATGAAGGTACTAATGATGCTTAAGAAATGTATAAAGAATAACTCCCAATCAAGAAAAAAGAGAGGAAGAAAACATAAGAGCTCATGTGAGAACATATCCATAGTAATTCCAAGGTTAAACCACTATAAAATCAGAGGATAAAAATCAAATTCATTACCTAAAATATATCAGGACACTATTACATCAAAGCATTAGAAAAAAAAATTACTTTAATGAAAATGCTTTGAAACTAAATACAAGCAAATCAGGTGGCTCTGAATTCATTTC